ATGTCTTTCAACACACATGCATTGAATAAGCAGCAGCCTTTTAGTTAATGTAATCTTGTTCCTCCTTTATAGCTGTTACTGTTTTACTTTATTCCTTATGTAATAAGTGTTTTTGTTTCTCACATTCAGTATGACTGCATGTTTGCCAGATGAGCTCAGTTCTGCCGACCTTCAAACATACTAAAATACATCAGTAAATGGGGATTTCTTCATACTAGTAATGACATGCCTGTAAGTAAAGGAGCCTAGTTGCTATGTTGCTTTGTTTTGGCAGAAGGGGGTCCAAGTCCCCCTCCGCACTGACAGGGTACATGAGGGCTCACTCTCTCTACACCACGTTTGACTAATAACCTCTCTGAAGTATATCTGACACTGAGCAGATATGTCAGGACATTCGTTTCCTGTCATCGTGACACCATCTGCACTCTGATTGAGTAACTTTTGTTTTTCCACAGAAACCCTGGCTCATAAAGTAGACAGTACATACGACTTACTGTGAAAACATAGAGAACAATGGCACACACACAACATACACTTGACGTTCACCCCTTCCTCTGTAGGGCTGCTGAAAAAAGGCCTTCCATTACATCAACCTTAGCAACAGTGAAAACATCCAAGAGGCCAGATGGATCTGTTCCAGATTACCGAGTGTTTTACTTTCCCTGGTCAGGAGGGAAACTTTTCGCTCCCTCTTTACAAAGTTCTCTCCAAATCTTGTTGTTTATGATGATTACTGAAATTGCTGACAGGCTTTTATCATTTCTGTTACATCACTGTGTATGTGTGTGTGCAATATCTAATCATATTACATCTGTTTGTGGTTAAAAGTTTAAACTCCTCTGTATTGGGGTAAATAAAGCAATATTTTCTGGTATCGTAGAGCTAAGCAGTCATTGCTCTTTCCTCTCATTTGATTGGACCAAACTAAATGTGGAGTGGAAAATGACTTTAACTACTAGTTAAAACTACTTCAGATTCCTGGGTTGTTGGTTTGGAGTCCTCGTAATAAATCTAGCAAATCCCCCCTTGTTGATCCGACACTCCGAGTGGTCAGCACAGGTGTTATATAAACCTTGGACCGCTACAGTGGTTATTTTGGGATGGTTAGTGCATTCCCATGTTGCTAGGAAGTGTTTATTCCCCTCTTGAATATGAGTTGCACTTATCATCTTCCACTGACCACTCCCTCTGCTATCATTAATGTTTTTTATTTTTATTTTAGTGCCTGGAGATCCAGAGTTTGTTGTACGGTCCTCAGCACAAGAAGACAAAAAGTACACAGAAAGCTGTGGACATGCTGGCCCGGTAAATCTTCTTAGTGTTGAGTTAATTTGCCTCTAATTAAACTGTACTGTTTATTATATTAAGGCATTGGATTGTGGTGATAAATGACCAATTAACTGTTTTTTTAATGAGGTAAAATAAATAACAGGTTTCAGTAAAGCAACCATGTACTGTATGTTTTGCAGGGCGCCAGAGGTGGCTGAGAGACAACAGAGGCAAGGTAGAAGGAAAACAAAATGTTTAGCTGTACCATCCAGTGGCAATGATGGAAACTCTGCGTCTGACTCTTGAAATTGTCTATTTATTTTAAAGAAATGTATGTATTTTGTTAGATAATACAGGCAGCTAGCACTCCTGGAAATTAGCTCTAGTCATGTCCACTGGTAGTACATGATTTTGTATCATGCTGTGCATTAGGTGAAATAAGTTAGCCTGAAAGAAATGCTCACACTCAGAAAACATACCCACAATAGGTTTTAATAGTGTTCCAATGTGAATCATTTTCCAAATAAGGACAGGAACCTTTTTCCCCAAAGCAATAATAATGCCTTTTGTTAATTAGAAATCATTATGTCAATAAAAGCAATTATTTCTGGCTATCCAAGGTGACAAACACATTCTTTGAGCATCAACAGGTTTTCTGTGTACTGATTTACATGTTTTTTATGCTATGAAATGGCACATTACATCCAGATTATACGGTGTACATACATATACAGGAGCTTAACAAAGATTACTTATCCAAAACCAACATTTAAGTGCACTGATGTAATAGTGTTTTGGTTTAAATTACTACAATTTGCCAATGAGATCACTTCTGTAAATATGCTGTATCTGGGCACTTAAATGCAACATGTTTTAAGTTAAATTGAGATTAAATTTTTTAGATTTCTAGCAATGGACAGAAAAACATGGCATTTACACTAAACATCTCACATTTTTAACATGATAAAAGATGTTCTGTGAAGACATTGATCAATAATTGCTAATTAAGTCTACATTTTGCAGCCGCTTAGAGAAAATGTGCAAAACATGTAACCACACTGTAAGTATAGTGGACCACTTCTGTGTCTGCAACTAGTACACAACACAACAAACCCTAAACGCCGTTGACACTAAGCCAATGATCCAAAAATAGTCATGGCCATGAATACACACTTATGTTAGAGCAAAGGTGAATCCTTCAAGCCTGTGCACTGTTATAACAAATGTATACAAGCAAAATGAATCCACACAATCACTGAATCATTTTAATTCATTAAGATTCTGCTACTTCTTTTCATTCTCTTTCATCTTACTATTTGCTTTGCAATTTTTTGGAGTTCTAAATGGTATGATTACCCATTTTGAATTTCCAGCTCCCTAATCACTTGATCAGATCCATATATATTGACAGTTAGGGAAATTAGAAATATTATTAACACATGTAAAGATACACATTTTACAAACATGTTTCACATAAGTTACACTGACCATGTAACTCGGCTTTGGTTATACAATGGGCAATTCTTTTTCATAATCAATCTAATCAAAATGTGTAATGTGACATTTGTTGTGAGTAAAGTTAAATAATCTGCAAATACACAACTCTGTAAGTTACATAACAACCACATTTAAGTGCCACATTTACTTGCACTACACCAACTTCCGCATTTAAAACTTGTTAAGACAAATTTACCTCTTTTTCTCCACTCTCCTATCCCGTCCTAAGCTACATGCATTTAGGGATAATTTGTTTTTTTAAGTCTAGTTGTGTGAGTCTGTGTATTACCCAGATCTGTCTTTTTCTCCAAACTGGGGGCGTGCAGAGTGCCGTCTACTGTAGGTAAATACACTTTCTATGGATAAGTATTTCACACAACCCCACTTCAAAAAACCCAAACTATACCTTTAACTATATTCTATATATAACACTTCACTGACTACTCCTTTTAAAATAAACTATTGTGTTCCAGGATGCAGTATATACTGAAACCATTCCATTTGGCAACAGTGCCCAAGTCAAAAGAAAAATTAAAGCCTCAATCAAACAGAGCACAGCACCTCATAACTCTTGTGTAAGATATAGCGGCATCTAGTAGTATCGTTGCAGATTGAAACTCCTTCGCTTCACCCTCCCTTTCCAAGCGTGAAGGAGCAACTATGGTGGCCATGAAACGCACGGAAAACGGCAACTGCCCTATTGTGAGCCAGTATTGGTTCAATATATATATGTATAACAACACTGCATATTGCATATGCATATATCATCCTAAGTCTTACACACTGGACCTTTTAACTGTCATATGTTGGCTTGCATTAAATGTGGACCAAGTAGATTCAACAACACGGCGGAGACACCCATAATGTGATGCTTGGTGTAATGGGGTGCTATAAACTGCAAAACGGGCTGTTTAAGCTGTACAGCACAGATTAGTACAAAAATAGAGAAATTTAGAAAGAATAAACAAACCTCTTTTAAGATAAACTGCAAGCTATAAAAAGGTTAACACATATCAGCGCAGCACTCCATCGGTATTGACCAACATAAGAATTTGCTACAATATGTAGGTTAGGATTACAATCCTAACTTAAGCTAGCCTATATTAGTTAGCAAAGTATTTTTAACAGCAGTACTGTCACAATTCATACCATAAAATATGTATTAATCTGACTATTTTAAATGAATAACTGAATTTTACTTGTATCATGAAGTGCAGGTAGATGCCACACTCTAAGTAGGTACAGAAAGAGCGCACCAAAATATGAATTAATAATATTTTTTTTTTAACTGCAAAACCACCTCAGCAAGTAACATTGGCAAGTACTAAGTTTGAAAATATTTCGTACTGAATTATTTCTTAATCATTTGTCGGGCTGTCAAGGTAAACTGTTGCAATTTTTTTCTCTTGAGTAATCTTCACCGGTGTCTCCAGGATTTGAGATTGTGGCTCTTGCTCCAAGGTTGCTTCAGCATGGCTACCCTGTATGTCCATCTGGAAGGTGTAGGACTTTTCTGCTGGTCCCAGTTTAATATGTTTCTCAGTGATTTCTGACACAGACTCTGCTTTGTGAGTGAAGCCTTCAAGGTCTTCACCATAGGCAACATCCTCTTCTTTGGAGACTCTGAAGCTGTATCCTCCTCCTGCCCCACCCTGAAAGGCTTTCTCAAGCCCTAGGTTAGAAGATCTGAGAGTTGCCATGATTTGTTCTTCAGATAGATCATCTCCTGCCTCCAGCAGCCCAGACTCTTCCAGGGTTTGTGAGACATTGAGCTCTGCAACTATAGTCATGGTGCCATTGTCACTTGACTGCTGCACTTTTTTAACAGCCACATTCTGTGGACTTTCACTACTCACTTTTGTAAGGAAAGCAAGCTCCTCCTTCAGTGGACCTGACATTGAGCTTTGTAGCTTCTCTAGAGCTCCCTTTAGCTGCTGTTTGGGCTCCAAAGAGTCTTCTCTCAGGAACTCGAGCATTGACTCCTGCACTTCAGGGGAGACACAAACCTCTTCCTCAGTGATGCACTCTGGGAAACTCTCTTTGACAAACGAGTGATCACCTGACATGAACTTGTATTCATCACTTTCCACTACAGTTACTCTTCTCGGGGGAAGACCTTCATCTTGATAATATCTTTCATCTGACAGGTCATCTAAGATACCATAATGACCATATGAGGTAATGCCACCACCCTCCTCAGCTTCAGAAAGATTATCATCTGGTGTAGAGACAAAATACTCGTGAGGCTCTTGGTCATGGGAGAAATACGAATATTCACTCTCTCTGGAAACCTCTTGTACAGACCCATCCTTGTGATGATCTGCATCTGTCATGGAGGTTTTAATGGCTTCACCATCACTTTCAGTGTCATGAGGGACATTTTCTAGCTCCTCAATTTGGAAATATGTTGAGGAGGGCCCATAAAAACTAGATCTGGACTTCTGTTCAACCTCAAGCTCCTCATCACTTTCAGCCTCCACTGGTTCCTCAATGATTTCCACATTGACAGACTTAGTTTCCAGGCCCTCGCCTCCCTGCAGGCCACTTAGCAGGTTCTTGATCATACTTCCTGTTGCTGTGTCCTTTATGTCCTCCAGTGACACTTTCTTAACCCCTTGGCTCAGTAGTTCATCTAGTGCTGAGTCTTCAGAAATATCTAGGTCTTCTTCCACTTTAGACTCGAGCACAATCTGTGTCTTAGTCGTGCCATCTTCCTGCTCAGTTTTCTCCACATGATACCTTACTTTCGATTCTCCCGAGGAGCAAACCTTAGCCTCCAAACCTGCTGGTCTTATCACTTTCTCGATTATCTCTTCTACAGTCACAGCGTCTAATATCTTTTTCTCTCTTGGGCCTATTGTAGACTCTGTTTTTCCCTCATCTTTGATCTTGCTTGCATAAACAAGATCTTTCTCTTTTTCATCCGACACTTGCTCTTTGCTTTCTGCCTCAGTTTTCCTGCTCAGGCTCATCATTGGCGGCGACACCACTCTAACTGATCTGGTCTCAGTAGTGGTGGACTTGACAGGACTGACTTGGTTCTCTACCTGAGAGACCCGTTTTATTTTCACACTCTGGTCTGTTTGTTTATCTTTGACAGTAGTGGTGCTGGTGGTGGTGGTAGCAGGGGCAGAAACGGCAGCCCGAGCCTTTGTGAATGAGATCATGTCCCTTCTGGATGCAGGACTCTGATGCCGAGCTCTGCCTGCAACTGAAATAGGAATGACCCTAGAGGGACTTATGGATCCAGAGAGAGGCACAGGGGATCTTCTCAGGTTTGAAGTCAGCGGTGTGTACCGGTTATCCATATGTTGTCTGGTGGTTAAGGTGGAAGCTCTTTGATTGTAGGGCCTGGCAGGCATCCTGATATCTGAGGTAGAGAATGAAGTAGCATGAATTATTAGATGGATACTTAAAGCAGTAGTTTGACATTTTGGGAATTAAGCTTATATTTGCTTCCTTGGCAGGAGGTGGTTAAAAAGATTGATACCATTCTCATATCTGTTTGGTAAATACGAAGCTGGATCCAGCAGCTTAGCTTCACATGTATACTACAAACGGAAAAACACCTGCCTACCAGCACCTCTAAAGCTAACTAATTATCAAGTTACATATTGTTTGTTTAATTTGTACAGGGAATGCTGGACTATACAGACAGACGTCTTAGCTGCCCGAGGTCACTGCTCCTGTCCAAGAAATAGTCCGGCACATAACCCCTTGAAAAACCACAAATTTTTGTTTTTACACACAAATATGAGAGGGTATCAATCTTCTCATCTTATTTTCTGCAAGAGGGCAAATTTGCCGAAATGTCAAAATATTCCTTTAAAAATATTCCTTTAAAATGACAGTGTACTCTTGTGATTAACACATAACATTAAATACTTCTAAATACAGTACCTATCACTCTTTCTCTTTGATGTTGATTCACCCTCATGTGAGCATCTTGCAGACCCACTCTCTCACCTTCCAGAAGAGCTCTGAAAAAACAAGAGACAAAATACATTTGAAGACTAGAGCAAATGCATCATTTTAAGTCACTAGTTATCCTCAAATTTCAACATAATTATTTGTTCCCATATATGGAAGAAAGGAAATGAAAGGAAGACTAATACCTCACAAGATGGTGTACATCATTCAGCTCTGCCATCTCAACCCACTCAAACTAAACGCAACAGGCTTACAAGACGGTATGAAGCCAGGACCTGGCCATATAGGGTGATAATCATCAGAAACATAACAAGCTACTGTCATGAAATAAAGACCTTGTAATAATTAGCTTAAATGGCTCACCTTTCCTTGGCCATGCTTCAACAAATTTACAATCGATTGAGCAAACCAAAGTGTCTGAAAAAGGAACAACCTCTCTGGAGAGTGCCTTCTGAAAGAGTGACCTAAAAATAACAGCTACAATGCAGGGCGGTCCACACTTCCCCATGAATCCCAAAGCAAAAGCTGACTCGTGACACATAGAAAAAACACATGTCAGTGCCAGGTCTCTGAGCAAACTTTCTGTCTATTCCAAAAATTCAAAACAAACCTAATGTGCCAGCAGAGAATCTACCATATAGAGATACACTTGAGTAGAAAGTCTCTTAAAGAACTTCCTGGGAAGTGACTTAATACTAATAACATTTTGGAACATTTTGGCTCAACAACCATTGAAGACTGTGTAGATGTCCCGCGATATGAGGTAAGAGGTTATGATGTTACAAGGATAACTGAAAAAAACCCTACTGGATATTACACCTTCAAACATCGAAACGCACTGTGTGTTTAACTGTTTTATAAATAACTTTGCTTTTCAGTAGAAATAGTCTTGTTAGTATGTGAGTATGTGTGATCTGGTTAAATTAGGAGCATGAAGACTGGACATACCATGCTATTACAGGATATGAAATGCCAGATATAATTTGTCTTGCTTTGTAAACGCTTAAAATAAACCAAAGAGAAAGTTTAAACAACTCTATTAAAAATAAATGTGCAGTACATGTAGTATTTATAAGATAGTGGACTAAAAGTGAACTACTACTTTTCAGTGTATCCAACTGTTCAGATGAAAGCACTCAGTGCCAAGACCTAAAGGAAGCAAGCAGTTATTTTTTTCTGTTTTGATGAAATCACTAATTAACCTAAGAGTAACTTCCGGCAGGGGGGGTTTGACCAGTAATGTCTTCTTAAAAGGATTAAAATATTACTGGAAATAGAGGATGTGACTTTAACATTTTAGCCAGCTTTCTTGGAATATAATATTACCCAATGTTACATTATATTATATTCCATCTCTGTCCCCCTAAATGTTACACACTGGGCCTTTTAAATCACATTTTCAAGAAGTGCAGGGCTGTGTTTCTGGCACCAAACTCCAAAACACATAGTAATGCTCCCCACAGTCCTTTTTCACATTATGAAAAACACAGGTGTAAATAATACATTTAGTTATGGCTGAATTCCATTTAGCTATGCCCATTTCAGGGTTTTTGATTTGAGTGCACTTGCTCACTGTCACACTGTCGAGGCTTACTACTCTTTTTCCTACACTGACTAATCAAAACATCTGCTATGAAAATAGTTTTGTACTTGAAGTCAGAATAATCTGTTTTGACACCAAAGTAAACAAACTCATCACCTGTAGGCAGCCACCTCCATACCCAGATCCATCTTAACCTGAAGAAGGTGCTGATGGTCTCGCATCTTCTCTGCAATAGTGTCAGCCATCATGTTCCTCTCATGCTCCAGCTGCTCAATAATCATCTAGAGGAAAAAAGGCAATTAAAAAAACAAATTTTCACTTTGCACATAGTTTAATTTTAAATGTCTGTGGTCTGTCGATTTGTTCCCCCCCCCCCACAATTTAACTGAAAATACTGTCATCATTCTGTTTACTTGTTAACCATAAAGTTTATAACCACTTTCTTTTTTTTACTGCATCCTACATTGTTGGTCACTTGGTAAGTCTGTTTATGTTTCAAGTCCCCGCCACTTATTTTGTTGACTTCTAATGCAGAAAGATGGCAAACTGGCTGTAGACTTCTTGTCAAAATCAAGTCTGTTCCCACTAACAGACTGCATTAATCATTTAAACTACTTAATCCGGCCTATGTCATTTGTGCATGAGCCTTTTCCAGTAACATTTGACATTGTACAACAGGTGTAATGCTCAATTTAAAAATTTCCCACAGGGTTAAACAGTTAGAAATGTGTTTTTGTTACAATACTAAAGACATCCCTACAGCGTATGGCCAGTGTAGTCATTTGTAACTGACTGACCTGCTTAGGGCTCCATCTTTAGGAGGCTAATAGGGATTTATCAGTCTGACAGTTAATTGGTTTAAGTGGCTGGTGTAATCTAGCAGCCATAAAGTACTGGGGAGGTAGAATGTGGTCTAGCTACTCAAGCTATTCAATCCTTTTATACTGGGGTCAAATGTTGCATGCAGTTTCCAATGCTTTTTACAGTTAAGGGAATCAGGCACCACTTAATGTTGGCAATGTCATTATAGGGTGGGGAAAGTTGCATTCATTTCAGAGATAACATTTATGCATCTGTGTGCTTTTAGAACAGACTGAAGCCAGAATGAATAGTTCCAGGATGCCACAGGATGACACTGTCCTGTTAGAAATGTCAGCCTAGATTGTGATGTTATAATGATTATTTAGAGAATATTAGAGGTTTAAGAATCAGTGTGATTCATTGTAGCAGCCACTGAGCTGCAGCTGCATCCATGCCTTTAAGAACGGGTGTGGCAGGTCCAAGAGGGAGTAGTCGCTCCCCTCTCTTGTGGCTCAGTGTGATAAAGGGGAGATTATTCTGTCTTTATATTGTGAAATGTGTATCACAAATGTAATATATATGTTGATACTTACTTAACATAGAAATAAATCCATAATCTCTGGCTTCACTTCACTTCTGAAATATAAATCTGGCCTTTCTCTGTCCTACTCTTTTACAGATCTTTCCTCACCTGATATTCACTGTAGTCCACTCGGAATTTTTCCTGCATGTGCATCAGTTGTTCTTCGAGATGCAGCTGAATCTGGCCTTGATTTTCCGCCTCTGTGCGTAATTTGTCCAACTCTGAGGCATACATCATCTTCTCCCTCTGCAGATCACTCAGCCTCGCCTGGTCCGCTTTAATCGACTGATCCATCTCCTCCACCTTCTGCTGGTACATTTCGAAAGTGTCCATCCATCCCTCGGACAGACCGCGGGCGTACTCTTGCACCTCCTCCACGGAGGCCGCCGGAGGCCCGCGATAAGTTTGCGTGATGATGGGCACCAGCCGGGACTCCACCTGACGCCGGAGATGGTCAATCTCTTGTCTGTGCGCATCCTCTAAGCATTTATACTCGTTCTCCAGTTGAATCAAACGCTGCTGGAGCTCGCTGTTGGTCTTGTGAGCGTGGTGGAGCTCCTTCCCGCAGCCTTTCAGCTCGCCACTGATGTCCCTGCACACCTCCGTCTGCTCCTTGCACAGAGACTGGACCATCTGCAACTCCCGCCATAGCTTCTCCCTCTCCATCTCAGCCTGGGATTTTTCAAACGACAGCTGCCCCACCATTCTCCTCAGATCCCGCATGTCCTCTTTGTACTTCGGTTGCGACGCCTTCACTTGTCTGAGTTTATTGATTTCAGTGATAAGATGCGCGTTTTCCTGCTCCAGTTGCTTCGTCCTGGAAAGATACTGGGCAAGTCTGCCGTTGAGCTCCTGCAGCTGGTGTTTTTCGCCCTCAAAAGTTCTCTTGAAAGGCAACATTGTGGCATCTGATGATAAAAAGTGAGTTTTAAGAAGTGCCTGTGTTTGGTTTCTAGGCGGCAGGTTGTCCCGGTGTCATCTGCGTGCGCGTCTGTGGGCGCAACTGTGATGTAATTTGCGATCAGTGGCCTTTGACAAGTGCAGCGGGGAGGAGGGCGGGTCCTGCCTCAGGATCGTCCCAAACGCGTCCTCGTCTCTGGCAGATGTTATGCTGCATTTAATGGCTGTCTGAAATACTACCGCTCGGATCTCGCAGTAGTAATCAGATATACGGTAAAGACAGCTGTGAGACTGTAAACTAAAACCTAAAGCTACATTCTGAAAATGCGTCGTGCAGTGGTATAAAATTAAAAAACGTGTTGGTTGTACTTTTTTATGTTAAAAATAAAAAGATAAATAATCCAATAGTGTTTGTGATTACATAACTTATTGACATTTAAGCCTCCACTAAACCTCCAGATTGTTAGTACATTTGTGTTAGAATGTTAAAGTGCAAGGACTTCCATTTTGTACTTTATAGCATATTCCACTACATTTGCCTGACAGTCTGATTTTACTTATTTTTCAGCTTTTATGTACAACATTGCTTAAGTATTAGGAATAGCCTAATCAAATAATAAATAATCTTCTTCCACCACAGATGTAAAGTTGCCTAAAAAGCAGTGATGTGTAGCTTTGTATCTCAAACACTCCAAAAGAAAACTGCATTTGGTTACATTGTAATTTATTGTTTCTAATTTTAAAACGGACAAAAAAATGTTTGTGGTTTACTGAATGGCCACACACATCAACGACTTTTTTGTCTTGTATGTACTAAATATAATAATAAATATTTTAAAAAGTCTTATTATCAGGCAAATTAAATGTTTAACTTGTTTTAACCTGTACAATGGGAACCGAGGGCACCTGAATGCAACACTCCCACACTCGCCATTCATGATTTATCTGCAGAGGAACAGCTCCCCGCAGCGGACAACAGGTGAGTTGCAGGAGCTAAAATCAGCTTTATTTTTCAGTGACAAGAAGTGCGTAACAAACCATATTCCTTTACTGACAGTGACTGCGCCATGAATGGAAGCGAAGTAGTGGTCGTTACAGGTAAATGAATAACAGTTTACTCATGAATACACGAAATTATCAAACTAAGGTTCATTCTGAATTCCTGTTTTAAGGCTTTGGACCTTTCAGACAGTTCTTAGTGAATCCCAGCTGGAAAGCAGCTCAGGTAATGTAAAAAAACAACAAAACCACAACAAGAACAACTACGGTGTGTGTTAAATGTCCATAAAAGACCTAAAATGTCTAATGTTTCATGATTTAAGGGGTTGAAGTTGGTCGGATTGGGACAGCGGACTGATATTTACATCAAGGAAGTACCAGTGAGTTATGTTAAGACTCAGCAAATCATTGCTGAGATTTGGCAAACTCTTAAACCAAAGGTAAAAATATCAAGTTCCCTTTTAATTCATAGAAATACTGAGGTAATAAGTCCCTTTACCAAGGAAATTATGAGTAATACCCAAAGTAAGGTGTTTATTTGGACTGTTCAATTGTGTTAACCTTTTTCCCTCTAACATATAGGTTCATTTTATTTGTATGGCCTCTATTCCCTATTATAGTTTGTGTATCATAGCTGTCATTCTGCTATGTCTGTCTGTGTCTTTGTTTTTAAAAGGTGTTATATAAGTAAAGTTTATTATTATTATTATACATAATATTGTTTCAAAGACTAATCCACACCACCATTATTTTATAATGAATCCTTTATTCATTAATTTATTCATCAACTCAAAATTAGTCTAATTTAAATATATTTTGTCCAAAAACACTGGAATCAAACCATAAATATCCACCACCAATTAGTTTTTAAAAGGAAACATTATAAACTGTTGTTAAAAAAACAAACCAAGACAAATTACAGAGGGCATGGTCTCAATGTCCCCAATGCTAGCTACAGCCCTGGTGTTGAAACATATAAATACACTCTGGTTGTGGTGTGAGAAGGTGAATATCTCACTTTACCTTTGTGTGTGTGTGTGTGTCCAGTTTGCCGTACATCTGGGCCTAGCCAGAGGTTCCAGTGTCATCATTCTGGAGCAAACGGCGAAGAACGGCGGATACAGAGACAAAGATGTGTGCGGCTTCTGTCCCGAGAGTCACTGCTGTGTGGAAGGAGGTCCAGAGAAACTAGACTCAGTCATTAACATGAGAGCTGTCTTCAAAGAGTTCAAACCAGGAGGGATGGATGTGATTTATTCAAGAGACGCCGGCAGGTAGACATCTGTCCCTGCACTGAGTCGACAGACACTCAACAAAATGAGATAATGCTCTCTGTCCTCCTCCTCAGGTACCTGTGTGATTTTGCGTATTATTGCTCGCTGTATCACGGTCAGAGGAGAGCGGCCCTCATCCATGTACCCTCATCTGGCAGCCTGACCTCAGCTGACAGACTGGTGCCTCTGCTGCAGAGCCTCATCCAGAGCATGCTCGACCAGCTGGAGGACCCTTCAGGCAGGCAGCCGCAGTGAGGTAGATCTGCTAATAACAACATTTCACACCACAGAGAGGGAATAAATAGAACAACCCGTGTTAGTTCTCATTTATTTATTTATTCAAAATTTCAGGAAAAAAAAAAGAAAATACAAGAAATTCTCAGATACACATTTTGAGTTGGCATGTCAAAAGTACACCATCTCAGCTATAGGTGTGAAAAAACTTTGAGGCCTCAGATACAGAGCTTGAGAAAAAAAAAAAATCTAGTGAAGTTTTTTTTTTTTTTTGATTATTTCTTTCCCCAATCAGGTAATGAACACAGAAATTTTGTGAAAGTATTATTATAAAATCATAGTAGTAGACCAAGGCCCCCTCAGAAGGTATAGGAATGCAAATCATAAAAACAGAGGCATGACAATGATGAACCTCAAACTTATTATTGCAGTTTGAATGCACTGACGCATCCTCCATAAACCTGAGGTTTGCATGAAGAACATTCTGAAGAATTGAAATGATAAAGACGACTAAGTTGAGTTTTTAGTTTCTGTATATTTACGCTGAAAATCTGGTAATGCAAAAAAGCAACTAGTGTGAAGCTGTAAACTTAGGCCTATCATCTTTTTCTAATCATGTTGTTTTACTCTTTAACATGACTACCCGTAATCTACGCAACATCCCTGTCCTATATATGTCCACGTTTTTATTTATTTATTTAAATGCTGTAGTTATCACAGGCTGGTGATCTAATTGTAACTAGTAATTCACCTCACAACAGGTCAATGTAATGTCTACTACTCCCAGAACGGAAAAGTTGAAATATATCGTTAATGTGTTGTATTTCATCATTACGAACTGTACAACTGTCCAGACTGAAAAAAAATAATAATAATAATAAATGCACAGATATGTTAAGTAACTACACAAGCTGCTTGCTTGTCAGTGGTGATTTCTGTACCTATGTGATATTCAGCAGCAATCAAACTGTTTTTCAACCAAAAGATTGTTCATTCTTTGACTGTTATCCTCTTAAATGAACATGCACAGATGAAATACTTAAGAGTAACCTAGACCGAACACGCAGATTTCACATTAGAAATTACCCAGTGGCCTGTTCATAGTCCCATTTTCTTTTCTATCTTTATTGCTTTTGGGTATTACATTTTTTCTAATCATTTCATGCCTCCAGCCCAGAAGCCCTTGCACTGAGACAGCATTCTCAAAGAGGTTTTTTATGAGAAGCTTTGAGATGTCAGAAGCTCCTTTGCGACCTTCACACTCAACATTTTGATGACAGTATAAGATCCACTGAGGTGACTGTTTGAACCAGCAGCATTAGTGTTAAATAGCAGTACAACAGGCCAGAAAAGGTGTTTGGAGTTTACTTCCAAATGATCCAAAAGCCTGAAAATGGTTACTAAGAGATTCATCTTGATGAGAGCGGAAATTACTGTAGCTATCACTAGAGCTAGAGACTTTGACAGGGGAGATGATGGCGTTCATATAAACACAAATAGTTTACATTGTCCAATATTGACAAAAGACTGAATTCAGGATTGAAGGTAGAAACATGTAGGAGGTGAAGTTGCTGCAATCTCTATAAAAGGTTTTTGTGTAGAAAGTGAAGAACTGTCCTCGTTACATTCACAGTACTGATCCATATACGTAACCGAACGCATTTGTCTGAACTGTGACTGACATCTAGATGTTTGGGATAAACTAAAGTTGTGCGGTAACCTCACAGGCAAAAAGCAAATACTTTTCTTCTCTTAGAGGTGAATAAAACATTTTCCCTTTTTAAATATTCCCCCATGATAAATCTTTAGACTTCTGTATAAATGCATTTTAGATGAGAAAATTAGGGTTTCTGTCTTTTTGAGGACTTGAGGTTGTGACAATAAGTTGGGAGTCAGTGGAGATGGAATGCCTGATGTTGATGTTGTGCCCCGGCCTCTTGTCTCAATCAATACATACTGGACCTGCTCTAAGCTTTGTAACGCTGTAAACCCTCAAAGTGTAGGCTGACTTAACTACGTAATAAATACCCAACAACAATTTACACGCAGCATACAGACCGTTCTTTTATATATTCTCAGAGGTATAAACGTACTTTTTGTTTAACCGCTGGGCCAGAAATCGGTTCGCTGAGTTTACAGCACTTAAACCTCCACACAGATATTCCATCTCCTGTCCTAGTCCGCTTTGTGAGGTTTATCTAGATCCCTGTGGGTTTTATCTAGATGAGGTTTCTATACAAACTGATGAGAAAGAGTGAGATGTACTTATTTTTCATACGCATACATATATTTGAAAAAGAGTGAGGTAGATATATACTTGAAGGAAAAAAAATATTTTTTTTAAGTCCCCCAGTCATGACACCAAAGAAAATACATACAAAAAAATCCAACTTTATACTGAATCATGGGGCATTTATACAGTGATTTAAACTGATATCACAAAAGGAAAATAAAAAAATTAATAAATAACACTCCTACAGAAAGAAAAAAAAAAAACTTCAAAGAAAGGAAAAAAAAATCACCAGGCAACATTTCCAAAAGATGAGGAGAAATCCTTCAAAACATTTTTCAGCCTCCATTTTTAAGACCTTTTTCCATTCATAACATTGAAATGTGTTCCCTTCCCTGGACTTTAACCCATCCTTTATTTGGTTTTTCAGAAGCAGTGATTATGAAGACAAACAATAAGACCTGTTCACACATTGAAGAAGTAACCTTAGCAGAAGTGGCGTTGTATTGCGTTTGAGAGTGTGTGTGTGTAAATGTGGGAAAAAAATGATTTTGAATAGTTGGGGGATGGTTGGCATAATTAAAGCAAACAAGACAACCCAAATAGCCCTATTGAGTCAAGAAGAGGCAGGATTAAAATACCAGATCTGGTATGGAGTAAATATCTCGTGTACTGGAACTGATCCCGACTTCAAAAGAGGAGGGGGGACAGTATGTTGTAGAGGTCAGTCTGGGGCCAGTGGGAAGGAGAGAGGGTACTACTGGACTCAACAAAACATGATCGGGGGAGGAAAGGGGGGGAAAAGGGAGGAGGTACAAACTGAGACAAGTAGAGGACGATCATGAGAATGTGTGGAGAAAGCAAAGCCTTTACTTTGACCTGAGATTGAGTCGCACCTAGAGGGCAATGCTAGGTGCAGTGCTAGACAACAAGTACAAAAAGGATGCAGAAAGTACACACTCACACATCGAGCTAAGGTGTCCATTCCAAATAATAATAATAATATTAATAATATTAATAATAATAATAATAATAATATAGACATCCACAAAACAAATACAGGAGGAAAGATTTCATAAAAATAAAAGGCAATGAGCAAAATATAGTGTTACAGAAAACCTTTTGGGGTAACAGAAAAAAATATTTTTTTTTATATCTAAATCATTGTATTTTTTGTTGTTTTATTTTATTTTATTTTTTTTAAACAGAGTTTGAAGATATAAGAAACGGACTGTAGTGGAGACCATAAAATACCGAACCTGAAGGATTTCTTTATATATAACATCCAAAAGAGAAAAAAGAATAAAATAGCAGCTTTTGTTCTGTACAGACAAAGAGGCAAACATTTTTGAACCATAAAAAGGTTTTTAAAAAAGTGACAAAACCATTGATGTGTATAAAAACGATCCTGCAGTCTAAAATACAACCGTAAGATCTTTATATGTGTTTGAAATGTAGAGAAACTAATGACTATTCCAAAAGAGACCTGCTGTGGTTTAAAAGTCGTCTCTAGGCTACTAAAATCCGATCCAACCCTTCTCGTTTTCTGTCTCAGATCTTGACTTGTTTGTTTGTTTGTGGTGCCATTTATTTTGAACAGCAGTATCAGCGAACAGTGTTCACTTCCCACAAGAAATGCACACTTCAGATTAAGGTTTGAATAAATGAAAGCGGAGGCAGAGTCGTATCCCTTGATTGTGAAGTTCAGTGATTTGCAGTGTGAGACTTATGGTGCTTTTGTTTAGATTTTTATTATTAAAACAAAGACAGACTGAGGCTGTGATTCAGAGTTGGCTGACTCAAGCGTGTGATTCCCTCCGAAGGTTTTAGCTACGCTTGGATTTGAATGGACTTTTGGTGGTGCAACAGAAAGTTTTGGTTAGCCAGCCATCACCGGCAACAGCACGCTGGCTTATTAAATGAAATTCTCTGAAAATATAGGTCCGCAATGAATTATTATTGTCAAACGATCTGCCAATTATTTTCTTTAATAACTGATTGTTTGTTATATGCAACAGCAGAAAAGAATGCCCAAGATGATTTCAAAACCAAAAACATGTCCAGTTTACTATCACATTAGACAAAAAAAATGCTCAAAATCCTCACGTGTGATGAGCTCGAACCAATTCAATTTGTTGCATATTTTCTATCGCTTGACTAACTGTTTCAATTTTATGAAAATTATTTGAAAATAATTATTTTCTTTTTCTTTCTATGAGCTATGATCTGCTGTCTGCCACCTGTTACTCTTTGGGTTTCTTAGGTTCCCAGTTGATCATAATTCCAAAAAACACAAATATGAATTTTAAGCAGGTAGATTTGTATATCGAAGAATCTTGTTGTCATCATTTAATTGTATCAGCAGGCAAGTGGTTACTTAACTACATAATGCTAATAACTGTTGGTTATTATCAATTATTTAAGAACACAGTTGCTTGTACAAAAAAAACATCTTCAGATGAATTCATAGTGACATTGTGTCAACTGATTTGAAAGAAACATTAACTTTAATTTCCTGAATCAAACAGATTTAGTCTTGCTTTTATATTGATCTCTCTATATGCAAATCACTTTGTAGACATTTAGTCTTGTGTTTCTCCTCAAAGTACCACAAGGCTTGCTAGATTTATTCCACCCCCAATGCAGACGCTGCGTATTCTGAGAAAACTTTGGGTGCAGGTGTGAATGCAGCCCGTCTCAACAGGAACACTGTTTTCTGTCCTGTTATAACACCGCACACAGCTGCTCTGGGAGCAATTGGTACTTAACATAATACCACCAAACAATTAAGGTATACTTCCGAGACAGACTTTGAATCACAGCCTTAAACAAGAAGGGAGATCTGTATGAAATTGAAGAAAAAGCTTGATTTGGCAATAGTTTGGCAGACACACAATAGGCCCTCCTCTTCCATTTTGACCCGCCTCTGACGGGATCTACACCCATAGAAATATCAACAGGAAAATTAAACAATGATCTTAGTCCAAACTTTCTAATTGAGGCATGCTCACATGACATGAGCCAGTCTGCTCAGAATGCAAACAAAGTCATTTTTGATGGAAAGTCATTTAAAGATGGAGCCATACCATAATATAGAGAGAATCATGTGTTTGTATAAATACACGCTCAGATATCCACAACATCCTCTCTAGAATCATCAGGAAAAAAAGTGCTCTTCTGCTGGATTTGCTGGCAGATATGCTAGAAAAAAAAGATTTTCTTTAAGTTCATGTCTAAATATGTAAGTCAGGATGCATGCCTGTATTGTTTTCCTTCTTGAAGGACTTGTACAACAAAGACTGAAATACAGGCTGCACAGGAAGGAGTTCCCCAGTGTCGAGTCTGAGCCACCAAACTCCAAATGATTTAGCAGGTTTCTGTGCTATTTCTAGTTTTTAGAGTTTATGTTTGACCTTTAAGGAGTGGAGAGACCATCTACTGGCACACAGTAGAAGAAAGTCATTTCTTACCTCATCCATCCCTCCTTAAGAGATGGAGGAGAGGTTTGTGTTACCCTGTGTAAAAGGAGGAGGAGGGGCTGGTCTGATATCAGCAGGCCGACGACTGGGGCAGTGGTAACGCCCGTTCATTCTTTCTGCCCCCATTCATGTGTGCATAGGGTTGCATCTCGTCAAAGTTGGGCCGCAGCACCACCACAGGCCCGTTGGCCGAAACATGTCCTGAGTGCTTGTCCAAGGCTTGGCCCGGGGCTGAGGCAGCCGGGCCTGGGGAGGAGGGAGACACAGGTCCCAGTAATGGAGTACTAGGGCCTTGCATGGGGGATAACTGCTGGGTAGAGGGAGGCGGTGTGCCTCCTGAACACCCAGACAAGGGGGTGGCAGCAGCAGCAGAGGGCTGCCTGGTGGATGCAGGGTCCAGTGGAATGTTCTCCATGTTTTCTACCTCCATGTCCAGCTCCTCGGTGTCCGGCGGTTTGTTCTCCTCGCTGTAGAAGAAGCTCATTTCCCTGAAGGGGGGGTCCAGTTCATCTTTGATGCTGCTGATGATCTCCAGGAAGGACGGACGCATCTTGGGGTTATACTGCCAGCACATTCTCATCAGCTCAAACCTGTAAGTGATGTACAAAAAATAAAAAAGGGTTAGTAATGTACAGTGGAGTCTTCATTTAGGAATAGATCAGATTTGTTCTAATACAACACACATATTTTTTACCATGAACTTTAGGAATTTTGGACTAAAAAGAGAGTATTGTGTTGAAACAGACTTTCAAACTTCAGACACTTCTCATTTCTCACCAGCAGGTGGCAGGAGACACTGAAGTGTAGGCCGTTTCACTATGCTATGTCACTAAAACTCAGTTTACTGTATTGAACTCGAGAAAAAAAAAACGTGATGCTGTGCTAGAATACTACTGTTAATAAAGTGAATGTTTGATAGAGCAGATGCTTTGATTCATTTTCAGGTAGGAAATTAAGATTAAGACTCTCAGAGGAGAAAAATCAGACAGAAGAAGTAATAAAAAACAAATTGTTACATCCACATAAACAGGCTCAGCTTTTATGTTTCACATGTCTACTATTGTGTATATATATATATCACCTATAAATATGGCCTAGGTATGATATATATACGTATGAAATGTAATGTGTAGACCTTTTAGTCTGAATAGCACTCATAAACACACTAGAACAGAAAATCACTCCGCAAATACCTGCCCTGCACCCCCGATGCGACCCATGATCAATTTCATACATATTTGTTTTTGACAGGCTACTCTAACTTCTGCTATTTCTATTTTAATACAGTCCAGTTTGAAGCGCCTGCATGACTACAATTTCATTAATTGATTACATTCGGTGACATTACTATATAGAACTCAAGAAAATTTTTTAAAACGGACAGTTCAAGATTTAACAATTTTTATTTGTTATTGCTACATTACAACAAAGATGTAGCATGTACTCAGCCAGCCACAGTAAAATCGATAAGTTAAGTACTGTGCCAGGCTTTTATATTGCCACCCGAGCTTGTGGAATGCTCAACACACCAATCAATAAAAGGGAGAAATCTATTGGGGGAGTTTTTGGTGGTGGTCGCTTACACCCGACACACCACCAACTGTCAATTAGACACAACAAGCTAAGAATACTCTCTAAGGCCCCACTGACATACGAACACTCAGTCAGATCTCCTCCTCCACTTCCTCGCTGTTTCCCTCTCCTGCATCTGTTTTCCTTTACATCAGTCTGCTCCCCAGTGGTTCCTTGTTTGCAGTCTACAACAGTCTGTCCTGGTCTGAGCTGATGCCAGATCACGTCGGCTGCCACAGGCAATGTATGGGGTTGTCAGCAGCATATGCTAGCATTGCAGCTTACGCTGTCCATACTTCTGAAGCAGCGGAGGAGTTGGGGAGGGCAGCGGGGGCGGGGTGCGGGCGCTGCGGGCGCAGGGTGGGGTGCGGGGTCAGCTCTGGCTTGTTTTTCAGCTGCACAGCAAGTGTCTTAAAGTTGACGTTCAGATGTCCAAACCCAGGCAGCGAAGACCTCCCATGAAAAGACGTGTAATGGTTGGAGCCGGGCCGGCGCTCCAGAGTAACCTGTCTGGTGAAAACTCTTCCCCCACCATCTGTTGCCGCACACGAGGCTTGTTGATGCAAATTTAGAAAACAAACACTGCAGTAAATCCTGACTTCTTGTCAGCATCCTGCCAATCATGGCACACACAGACACATGCTATTGCCATTAAGCTAAATTGACTTATATTTGACTTGTCATCAGTGACGTTAGCCACATGCCATGTTCTTCAACTGGCAATAAAGGAGCTTCTTTTTTCATACCAGCTTTCTTTTTTTATTTACTATGAACTATGTGTCTTTTTCCTTTTTTTAATCACCTGTGTTGATTTAGCTGTTCATGCATATTTGGTACATCCAGTTCCAGTTTAACTGCCCAAATGTGCTGTATATATAAAGCTTTACTGATTAAGCCTTACCTTTGAATGACAAAGATTGCGCTGTGGGTGCCTCAATTATACTTACTATATACTTTTTCTGTTTTTGTGCTTTGTTTAGCTGTCTGTCTTTGACTGTAGTGAAATCCCTTGTGTTACTTGGCCTGGAAAGCATATTCTGAACTTTTCTGTCCCACCAATAAACGCTGAGTGTTACAAGCAAATAACTGGTGTGATAGTGTCAGAAAGGTGCTTTCAAAATTAAAAATTTTGAGGCAGTCCGGCTTTTATAAAGGAAAAAAAAATCTGCACTAGTCTAGACAAAGCCAAAATTTCACCAGACTAAGATGAACAAAAGGACCTTGCGACATTCAGCTAAAATAAGAAACAGACGCACTTTTGGGCAAAGTGAGTGCAGACCAGTCTCCGAACATCTATGGTAAATGTTTAATAAACCCGAACAGCAATCTCTTGCAACAGACCTGCAAAACTTCACACATGCATCATCCTTGGCGTGATGAAACCCTGATGTATACTAGCACTGTAAGTGATACTGCACATTCCATTCAAGAAATCACAACGTTTCATATGATATTGTCTTTCATTTCGCACAGAGAGAGCGAGAGCGAGAGCGAAAGAGGCGGAGAGCGAGAGGAGATTAAGAGAGAGAGACGAGAGAGAGAGAGAGAGAGACTTGAAATGTTAGACAGAAACATGGGAAATCCGATCAGTGACCCACAGCTACCTGACCATGGGAAAGGCAGTAGTACAAGGAGGAGACATTCAAAGCTCTCCAAATATGACTCATCCCTCTGTCTGTTATCCGGCCCACTTTCTCCTGTTGTATCTTTCTAGTCTGTCTTTGTATGGACGTGTATGGACTGGCTTCACCACACTTGAGCAGTCTTTTGGAAATCTCTATTAAGTCACTACAGGAGAATCGACCAGCGGCAGCAGCCTGACTTCCCCTCACAGACTGAGAGGCAAACCCCCCGCCACCACCTCTGTAACACAATCCACACACTCCTGTAATCAGGACAAAACAGTCAGGCTGCCATAGAAACCAGAGGTCTGTGTCTACACAACACTCGACCCTTGTGTTTTTTTTTCTACTCGCGCTCTCTTTCTCAAGGTGAGGTCAGCCATGGAGAGTGGGAGGGGAGAGAGAGCAGAATGCCTTCTTATTGAGGTCAGAGACGGAGAGGAGAAATGCATATATGCAGCGCTGCACGCTGACGAGCAGGCTGTGCTGTGTTTTCTCCAACAGCCAGGGTGATTCATTAATGAATTAATAAATCTCGTCTCTCCCACTCCCTTCGCTGACGGACAGACACCATCGGCCTCCTCAAGCCCGTTCCCGGTGGCTGGAATGAGGGGCATCTTTCACACGCGGGTCGTGGCATCCCTTCTATGGGCCCAGGCTGGCGGGTGAGGAGGATTCTCTCTGCCAGCTGACCGTCGGGCCATGTCGTCAACGGGCCACATTTAACCTGTGACGTTAATGCCAGGCCTCATCTTGGCTCTACCTTAGCATACACACCACATGATATCCTACACACTTGGAACCACAACTTAAAATAGACGCCGGGGCAAAATATTAACGGTGCAGACGGCATGCAAGGCAGTGGCAGTAGAGGATAAAACAATACATCCTTCGAGATTGCTGTAACATAAACCCTGAAAGGTCTGAAATGGGTGATGTTACACAGTTATTGCAGTTATTGATCACAGATACAAGGGGGACTTACAGCATGTCAGGGCAGTTGTCAGGTTTGTCCAAGAGTCCTCCCTCCATGACAAAGCGCAGCACTTGTTCATTAGACATGCCCTGGTAAGGCTGTTCTGCTAAGGTGGCGATCTCCCACAGTACGACACCAAATGACCTGCGGTAAGAAATGAGACAACAGTTTTGGAAAATATATTTAGATTTTTGCCTCTCTTCTGATGCTAATTCAGTGCTGCTTACACTGCTGTGGTTAAGGCCAGCAATCATAGCAGTTTGTTTATTACTTCTAAATAAATCTTACATTTAAAAAAAGGACAAAACTAGTGCTTTGGTTTTGTCTATTGCAACGCATTTGCTGCATGAAAAAGAGAAAACACTTTTTATTGAATCTTACCTGATGAAGGTCTGAGGAACAAAACATCTTTTATTAAGTACAAGTGGTTGACCCTATGCAGAATTCTTCCTGTTCCCTCTTACAACAAATCTTGTACAGTAAACCTTCCATTTATATGAACCATCTTTCAAAGCATGCTGTAGTATTTTTTACCTTTAAATTGTTTATTTACTACCTCTTAGGGTTTTTTCTTTAATAAAAATGTGCTTACTAGCTGGAATTAGGTAAGATGTATATACTATACACCTTGCTGAACTACCAAACAGCAGTGTGGATAATGTGGGAATGCAACTGTTGCAGTTAATTAGCTAATCAAGTCAAAAAAAGCTGCACTAATTAATATTTTTTACATTAACATTTGGTCAAATAACAATATGGATTGTGAGAGGTTATGCAAAACAAACCCACAAAGAAGTATCACCCAATTCTGCAGATCCTCAACTTTTTAAGGCAGTATTATTTCAGTGTATGCCAGAGATCAAAACAATTAATTGATTAAGCCTTTAGTATTCTAAACTTGTGTTAAATTGAAATTCATTATTAAAACAAATATGTATTGTTCAGGTTGTTGTGGATTTATGTCCCCAAGTGGCCAAAACAACTTATCAGTGCTGCTTTAAATACTATTATTAGTAACCCGTAAACAACAGTTTAATTGTAACCTGACAACCTTGTTGACATCGTGTTAAACCTAAAACCTGGCAGCCTAGGAAAAATGTGAGCTGTGTATCAGTGTAGCAGTCAGTGAATCACAATGATTTCATTACTGCAGGACAAGCTTGAGTATAGTAAACATCACCTCAGTTTCACCTCAAGCTACCTTGCACTGAGGTTACTATGAAACTATTCATGAGGACAATTCTTAACTTGACTAACAAAGACCACAATATTTGTTCACTCTTGCTAGTCATTTTTTCACCACTGGCATGAGTTCTGAGAGTAAACTCCACAGTCTTTAAAACAGCCTTATTACAACACTGCATATAACTGGCTGAAACAGCCTTGTGCTGACAGACAAAGCCACATTCAGACAGCTTTTCTTGATCAACAAAATAAAAGTCACCTACTTGCGGATTCCTAAGGAGCCCAGAGTGGGTTCTTCTTACATTTAAGTTCATCTGTACAACATCAAAGAGGAAGATGTAGTACGCAAATGTGGAGGTGGGTTTGTGCTGGCACTGCAACCTATCATTTGAGAACATCTGGAGCAGTTTAAGCCCACTCTTAGGGACTGACCCGTGGGACATTTTGAGTTGGGAAACAAAAACTTGCGAGGGAGCTAGTAAACACTTGTATTTCTCTACAACAATATCTCCCCAGATAGAAAAATGTGGCAGAACTGTGAGCTGAGATTTCACCGCAAGCTGGCATTAAAAAATGTGTCCGTAAAAAAAAAAAAGATTTATCTTGTTCTATACTGTTCTTTCACGGACAGAGGAATTTCCAGCGGGCCAGCTGGAAACCAAAAGATTTTTGATGGTTTTGGATCTACTAGCTGCTGTCATAGCATACACAGGAAGGATGGAGGGCAGGAAATGCATGTTCACACTGTTAAGTAAGGAATGTTGTTAAGAATATGGGCTGAGAAGTGATCTGTGTGTTTTTATAGTTTTGACTCAACAGCATGAACTGTTTCGGCATATCCACACGCACAAAGACACACAATATGTAGACATTTCTGGAATACTTTGCAAGCTCCCTGGATTAGGGAAGGTTTATACATGTATAATGCAGGCTTCTTAGTGTGTGTAAGAGAGTGAGGTGTTCTCATACCAGACATCAGACATTGTAGTGAACACGCCATCTTTCAGTGACTCGGGAGACATCCAGCGGACAGGCAGCAGGCCCTTCCCTCCTTTTCGGTAGTAATCCGTCTCATAAATATCTCTGGTCATGCCAAAATCTGAAGAGAAAAATGAAAATAGAGGTTGAGGAAGCCACTAAATATCACTCATTCTGTGTGGGAGAAGAAGCTCCTGAGAGTTCATCCATTCCCTCACCTCCTCCCTCCCTTTGTACATCTACATTAAGACTCCACTGCTACAGGCAGTCACTGAAATCCAAACACTTATTTTTTAGGCTGGTAGAGCGGGTTCAGCATTGAGCAACCAAGGAAGGCTGATGGCATCGCATTAACTTGACTTACCTCCAATCTTCACAGTGAAGTCCTCGGCTACCATGCAGTTCCTAGCAGCCAGATCTCTGTGGACAAATTTGTTGGCATTTAGGTACGACATGCCATCGGCGATTTCCCCTGCCATCTGGATCATCTTTTTGAGCGGGGGCAGGACCTGGCTGGTAGAGTTCTGTGGCAGAGTTAGAGAGGATGAGGTGAGAGGGTGAAGAGCAGCAAAAAACATAGTTCATTTCATCTTTTTCTGCTTTCCACAACACTGGACACCGGTTACAGTCCAGCATTACAAAGTGAGAGATGGGATGCTGTGTGTGTGGAAATGTACAAGTGGTTGTGGAAGAAAGGGGGACAGGATGTGTTTGTGCGCGTGTCTTCACACATTAGCGTGTATGTGTATGACAATTCACACCATCACCTATTTCTGTAAGAGAGAGACAGCATCTGTTATAGAGCTGAAGTGTGTGTGTTTGTGTGTGAAGAAAAGCTGCTTACTTCTTTGCGCAGAGAGCGCAGGTGGCTCTTGAGATCTCCACGGGTCATCAGCTCCATAATCACCAAGGTTGGCTGGCCCTGAGAGACCACGCCCAACAGTCGCACCTACACCAATCACAATACAGCACAGGTCAGAAGGGATGAGTCAAAAGCTGTGCTCCAAATCTAAATTACACATTAATTCTAAGCAGGTTTTTTTGTAAAGAAAAAGTGACAAGATAAAATAACAGTCAGTGAGCAAACTAAAAATATATATTTTTGAGTGTGCTGTTGACACAATTTTCCCACAACACAATGCAAAAATGAAATTTAAGAGATGCTCACAGCTGGAAAAAACATTAAAACTAACAACAAATGGTGAAACAGCTCTAGGAACACCTCAGAAAACAACAAAAAACTATTACATTTTTGGAAAAAGACTTTCTCTCTGTGAACTTTGATTTCGTGTTTGTTCGTGTTAAATATATCAAATTTCTGGTGAAATAACCACAAAAACAACAAACTACAAAGATGAACATACAGTATAATGTATAGTGAGTAGGTAGTCTACTACCTTCCCTCTGAAGCACTCTAGGTTACAAGCAAAACATGTTCATCTTATGCTTATATTAGAAAAAAACTGATTCTTTTTAACTTGCTTTGACGAGTGTAAAAAATCAATTTCCTTTAAATTATTCAAACTGAATTTAATAATTAAGTGTTTGGCTTTTTAGCAGCCAGACTTGATAAAAAGGTTGTAACAGCAGCTTTCCAAAGGGAAAATCTTTAACACATCCGTTTAACGTAGTTAATGATGCTGTGATCTCGCTGATTAGAGAATGTACACAATCTCCAGGAGGCTGAACCCTGCCTCGGGCTGTAGCTGCCTGGGTAAAGACAACCACGGTGTACTCAGCGCTTGTGACCTGCTGACACCTTTCTCTCTGTTTCTGTGCAGATTAATTAGAAAAAAATGATTGTAGGGAGGACTGTCTCGCAACTGGGTTCAGTATAACAAAGTGTTGGTTTTTTTTAGCCATATAGTGATGCTTTTCTTGCATTTATTTCAGGCTTTTCTCACTCTAGTGCAATAGGTAGCTATTTTAGTCCATGACTCTCTTACCACATGGTGACAGTTGAACTCCTTCATGACAGAGGCTTCGTTCAAAAACTCAATGCGTTCCCTCATGCTGGCCGACTCGTTGACCGTCTTGATGGCCACTCGTGTCTCAGGTTCATCCTTGACCACTCCCTTGGCGATGCCTTCATACACCATGCCGAAGGAGCCCTGACCCAGCTCCTTGTGCATAGTGATCTTCTCTCTGGCCACCTCCCACTCGTCCGGGACGTACACTTGCATGAAACAACGGACAGCAGGTCAACACCATGTACACACACTAAAATATAACAGAAAAGTTGAGAATATATTTGATATTCTTACTCTCAGCAGCACTGAAGTACTCTGGGTTGACAGACGCGTAAAGAACTCCATTCCCCAATCTGTCGCTATTCCTGTTGACACAAAGATAGCAGAGTTAGTCAGCATGCAACTTTGACTGTGGATGGGATGTGTAATTCTCTCTAAGTCTACTCTTTACCACAGGGGAATGTTAACGAAAACAACACCTATTAACTCTAATTAACATTACACTGGTCATTAACTTTTATGAGCATAGCAAGGTAGATCAACATTATCAAGAGACTTTGTCTGGCAATGTGTAGAGTATGTTCATGAAGATACTTGCCTCTTTTTGTTCACAAAGAAGAGAATCGTGGTGAGGCTGGCAATGAAAAGTGTCACTATGATGGGAATTATGATGACCAAGTAGAACGTAACACCATCGTCTCCTGTCAGTCAGAGCAGATAAATAAATGTGATCAGCACAGACTAAAAGTGTCAGGAATGGACTGTATTTATTGTGTGAGAAATGTCACATTACGTTTGGGCGGAGGTACATAGAAATACACGCTCTCCGTCCAGGAGCCGTTTCCAGCTAGTGAGGTAGCCCGCACACGAGCAGAATAATTCCCGGAGCCCAGGTTGGTCAGCCGAGCTCCTCTGTGCTCGCGGTAGTGCTGTCGCGACACACACTCGTGTTTCTCAGGCTGAAAGGAAACAAACACAAAAACCGTCAAGGTTAACAGTCAAGGTCAGGTGAGGAGAGTAGTAGTAGTAAAATGCTAGACAGGGGGGAGAATCAGATGTATGAGTCCCGCTCCACTCAAATATGTGTTTTGCCTATTGGTCCTTCACTCAGATGTTTGAGCTTTTGACTGTGCAGAATGATGAATGTGCTAAGATTGAGACTAGACAACTCCTTTCACATCTGCTAATATCGGAGTTTGGAGGCCAATCATAGCTCAATATGCAACTTTCAAAAGTCTCGCATATTTTATATACATAAAGTACTTAATTAAAAGGCCCAAAACATATCAGGCACAAATTATTATTTCAAGAAATATATATACATATATTTTTAAGTATTTTAAGATTTGGCTTACCTCAGTCCCCAGACGGAACTTGATCTCATACATCAGGATGAGTCCATTGGGCATGACGGGCTCTGGCCAGTGCAGCACCACACAACCCTCAACCTTGTCACTTCTCTCAAAGATCACCTTTCCAGGGATGTCGTCTGCTCTGACTGTGAAACACACATACAACCTTATTACAAGACTGAGCCTACAAAATGCTGCAAGAGAGTTATATTAAAGGTGCATATTGTGCCACATTGTATCCAGGTACATTACTAACCTGCAGGTTTGGTCCTGGAGAAGACGAAGGCTCCAGCACTGCAGCGCCCCACCTCCTCATTGCAGGCATGGAGGTCAATACGGTAGACGGTGAAGGGCCGCAGGTTGGGGATGTCTAAATATTCTGCTGTACTCTTCTCCTCTGAGAAGGGGTACTCCTTGATAGGAGGAATGCCATCTGTGCTGTTTTCACCCGGGCCAAGGGTGGTGTTGCCCCTACCAACACCCTCATTAAACAGTGTGTTATTAGCCACACCGAAAACATCTCTACGTCGACGATCTGGTGGTCTGAAATACAGAAGGACAAACGAATGCAACTGCTGTGAGAAAGTTTGAGTAGTAAGCGCTTTAATGGTGATAAAATAAAAAAGAAAAGATCTACAGTATGTCCTGGAAATCCTATTGTAACAAATAATTGCAGGTTTATAACTCCCAAAAGTATTTTTCACAAAGCTGAAGCATATCGCTGAACCGGGTGGAGTGAGTGTGTGTCTCATATCTTTGCGTGTGTGTGTGTGTGCGCGCACGCCATGTGTCCAGATGCTGCAGACGACTCCCTGTGGAGCTGTGTGGAAGGATGAGGTCAGACAGATCATAGCGAGGTGGACAGACAGAGAGAGAAAAAGGGCAGACACATAGAGAGGTTTTTCCACAGTAAGAACAATAAAAAAAAGCTTTCTGTCCAACATATCCCAATCAACAATGAAAAAGTCCAAAAGGGAAAAAGGAGAGAGAAAATATGGCTTATATTTTCATGATATCAACATTATGAAACAAACTGTTCACTGCTAATGACCAGTTTTCAGCAAAGACACTGAGGGCATTGCGGTGAATGGACTCATGGTTACATGGTGAAGATGACGAGCTGTGGAGCTGCCTGGAGCTGGACATCGTTATTATTGAGGGTAGGCAGGCGGTGACAGCTGTGACTGTGGCAGCAGCAGTGGCACAACAGACGCCACAGGGCACTTTACCTTCAGTTACCTTTAACTGTTACCTGTGAAACCCACAGGACAGTCGACTGAGACTAATGGACAAAGAGAAAAGTCCTGAGCTCTGATTGAGATGGAAAATGAAAGCTGTATTGACAGCAGGTGACAGCAGGTGATATACAGTACATGGAGCCTTTGCAGAGCTCTTGTGAGGTGTTTGGAAATGTAATGGAGAGCATGAACAACTGGCTAGGTTGTATTACAGCATTTGAAACAGCTTAGGATTCAGGGTTATAAATAATGTGCCGATTTTGTCCTCAACTAATTGATTAATTGTTTAGTCGATCAAATCTGAATAATAGCCATGGCAATTTCCTAGTGACAACGAGAAATTGTTGTCTTTTCTGACCGGCAATCCAAAACCCAAAGATATTGAATTTACTATCAAACACAACAAAGAAAAGCCGCAAATCATCACAATTAAGAAGCTGGAAGTTAAAAACTTAAAAAATTATAAATCAATTTTAAGAATGCTGTCGGTTCCCTGTTGATCGACTAATCGTTTCAGCTCTACCCAGGAGGAATAAAAAGCTAAACTGAGAGACCCAAATGAGCAATGCTACACTCAAGCATCTGTTGTGTTTGAGCAGACATACACCTACAGAAGGAGTGTGCAGACACAGACGGAGCCGTGGGAAAGACCAGTCGCACTGACATGTCAACATTCCTCTCTGACGGTTATGACTGGTGCATTACAATCCAGCACTCTAAAAGTGCTACTGTTACTACATCAAATATATATATAAACTGACACCAGAGTAAAGACACAGATGTGTGAGACTAGTAAATCTAAATCGCTAAAGAAGAGAAAGAAATACATCACAGAGAGGCCAGATGAAAGAAAACTTGAGGTATCTAATTTCTGTATGTGCAATGAGAGTGTTATGGGTTAAGCAGGCCAGTCCTAACACTGTGAGAAGGATCCTCAGCTGACTGAAGCATGACCTTATAACTAGTGAGTTACTACAGTTAGTGTCCTGACCTCGCCTGCTAAAAAAAGATCTACCTTTCACGCAATGCAATCCAGAGAGGAAAGCAAGGCACATTATTAGGTGCTTGGCAGCAACACATACGGCAGGCTCACGAAGAAGAGCGGAAGATCTCTTGATCTGACTGATGAAGAGGTAACTTCATCTTGTATGTACTGTCATGAGTTTCAACATCTGGTGCCGACTTAAATAAATAAATCCAGTCAGCTGATGAAAGGTTTTTTGATGGTACCACAAGGTCTCCCAAATAGCCATCCTCTTTGTGCAACCACCCTCCTCTCCTCCAGTAAATCAGTCTGCCTTCCTTACTTTCTGTTTGTCTTCTAGCGCTGATGGGGCTCTTCCCTCATTCATTTAAATTCCAGATGGATTCACTGTACATTTCCTGGCAGCTGTCTCGCTCCAGAAAAAAAAAAAGAAGAAAAAAAAAACCCGCACAAAGAGACCGTACAAGGGGAGGAGGAGAGTGGAGTGGTGAGTGGAGGGGGACAGAATGGAAAACATTTCCTCTTCTTTCTGTTTCTGTTTTCAACCGCCCTCTTTCCCCTCACCCTGGGTCTAAACCCTGAACTTTTGAAAAAACCTCCCAGATTTTCGAGGCCTTTCCCTGGAGTGGTTTGTAATAATGCTGGCTCTGTTACAGCGGAGAGTCTGTGCATACACAGGCTGAGCCCTTCGCTGCAGGCCCGGGAACTGCCACTCGCCTGTTTCCTAGACAGCTATACTATAACAAATCAACACAGGCAGAGAGTGGAGGAGGAGAAGGGTGGGGGGTATGAGTCCAATTACAATAGAAAGCTATGTTTTATTATTCTTCCTCCGAAGACATATCGATCCAATTCCACAAGAGCACTGCAAAGGAAAAGAGAAGGGCACCATAACACTGAATGAATCGAATGAATGAACTTTGGAGGCTCCCAGGCAACGTTTAAAGCTATGGATTTATAAGATACCTGCTGAGGCAACAAGTTTATCAAAGGTCTTCATATTTCACTGTGCTGGATGTTGGAGATAGAGTGTTATGGCCCTAGTTTCGTAAATATGCACAGATTGTGTGTGACTGTCTGCATGAGAATAAAGGAGTGTGGGCGAAGAACAGAGCGGGACTCTTTGAAACAGTGAAACATCCTTAGCCACGAACAAGTTAAATGATAACACAACACAGATGTCAGTCCCTATTGTGGGGAACAAAAGCCTAAGCAGCTACGAGTGCACAGCCAAAACTAAGTCCTTCAGACTCCTTAATCACATCTCTCTCCTGGGTTTGTTTGTGTTGCCTAAATTGCTGCCTGCTAGGTCCTAACATCCCCCCGTGCCACGGTTGCCATGGAAACAGAAAGCCACAAGCGCACTAAGAAGGCTTTGGATCCTACTCAGCACGTCTCTTCATCCGCACCGCCCGACAAAAAGGGCCGAACCCAGCGGGCCAGCTCAGTCCCCGTCCGGTCCCATCTACGCCCCCATTCTCGGGTTCTGTCAGCTTCACAGAGGAGCCATTACACCCGGGCCGCCACTTCATTCCTCATTTCGACCCATCAAGGCAAACAAGTTCAGCTCTCCACAGAGTGAAAGAAGGCACAGAGCAGGAGCTGTAAACAGTTTAAGGAGATCACTGTAAGGCTGATATTATATAGCCACTCCATCTGTGGCTTACTATACCTTGGCAGAAAGATGGCATTGTGGAGGAAGTTCTCGAAAACTTTAAGAAAGACGCGGTCATCTTTCGCCCGGTCCTGCTCCTCGGGTGTCCTCTGGCAAGTACAGCATGGGCCCTTGTCTGCCCCTGCCAGGTCTGACTTGGTGGGCTTGGTGTTCTCTTCCATGTCTGTGAGCCCTGTGGCTGGGATACGGATCGGGATCTTCAGCTCTGTTTTAGGAGAAACCAAGAGTTTAGGGATGGGCAGCAATCTAATATAACATATTTAACATACAGGCATGAGAGATCAGAGAATACAAAAGATGGTTATTAAAGATGGTTTTATAGAACTAGTAACGCAGACCTTTGGAGCAGTAGTTGTGTTGGTACAGCTCCCTGTCCTCAGGCTGCTGCTGCCAGCGGACAAGGTAGTAGGTCAGGTTGCCATTGGGAAAAGCTGGAGGTGACCACTTAACCACCAGCTTGGTTGAGGAGTTGGCAAATGCACGGGCGTCTTTGGGCATAGACGGCACTGCAACAGAGCCAAAGTCATGGTATGTTATATTAAAATGATGTTGCCTGTTCAGGTACAGTAATTAGTGAGAGGATTGCATTACCATCGCAAATTTACAAACAGCATTAGAGATAATCAACAACTGCAGTATTGGACTGATAGTCAGACTTACTCGATGGGCGTGTGCGAATGTAGATTATATCACTCTTTGCCCCAGTAATGTGTTTGTCCTCCACCTGCAAGGTAATGGCCTTCACAAAAATAGCATACTGGGTCCAGGGCTTAAGGTGATGAATAGTGACTTCTGGGTCAATGTTTTTATCCTGAGGGAGATCCACATCCACCATGTGCCAGCTGTTTGAGCCACAGCCATCCTGGCCGTCAAACTCTGTGATGTTCTGGAAAGGGCTGGTGAAGACACAAAACATGGCTGTGACATTTACAAAGAAATTACATTTACTCCTCTCAGAACAGTTGGTATGAAAGTAAAACACAGACTTTGCCAATGGGTTGGCATATTTTAGACCATTATTTACAAATGTTGTGTATTTTACATTACTGCCAACCATTTTTCCAAAGCATACCATACAGTTTTTGATTGATTATCGACCTTTGAGTTTACCATTTGTTTCACTGTGTTCCAGCTGAATAAGAAAATCTGCCAGGTAATCAAACCAACCGATCTCAAAACAGTAAGCACACATGGATGTTGTGAAGAGGATGTTGTAAATTTAGTTTATGTTGCATCAAAGGAATTCTTCTATTGATTACTGGAAATCAGAATGCCTCAAAAGCAGCAGAAGCTCAAACACCGCCTTTGGAAAATGGTTGGCAGTAATGTGAAGAGTACAGTAGAGTTAGTATTGATCGAGTTAAAATATGAAAAACCAAACCGATACTATCATCTAAGATTTTGTCTTCATAAAATTATGGAAATGATTTTGAGAGGAACCCTGTGTGTTTGAAACCTTAAGTTCTGATTTTAAAGAAACATGTCCAAAGTAGAGTCTCTGCCCCAATGTAGAGTTTATTTTATAATATGATGGTGTTTTAGAAAGGATAATGACTTAGTTAGTGAATGAGGACTCACGACTCCTTGTAGTAGACTATGAAGCTGATAAGGTCTCCATAGTCCGGTGGCTGGTAGCGCTCCCATATCATCCTGACCTTATGGCTTGATGTATTGTTGGACTTGAACTTCAAGATGTGACTTTCACCTGTATTGTCAGAGCAGGACCCTCAATGAGACACATGTACAAAATGAAAACAACCTATCATGGGTTTTTAATGACCTCCGTCATTGAATCACAAATTGTTTCTTCTTTAAAGATCACTCACAGCAAAAACTTCAAAATCTGTCAAAGTTCATATGAGTATACTCACAGCTGGCTCTTTCACCGTTGTTACGGAAGTCCCCCTCCTCTGGCTTCACAGTTATGTTCGTCTTTTCCCACATCTTGTGGATCTCAGACATGCAGAGTTTGGGGTTCCGACGGAAGAAGAGACGTCCATTCAGAATGGTCAGGTTGTGCTGGCTCCAGTCCCACAGATACTGCAAGTGCTGGTTGTTGATGGCGGAGAACGCATACATGCTGATAATGGAAGGAGATCAAGAGGAGGTTAAAACCATCTCATACAGATGAACAAAATGTGTTTTTTATGGTTTCATGAAAGGTGAGGTGTTGTGGCATGTGGCTAAAAAAAAGTTTTGCCACCTGGTGGCAGCGTTAAGCACTAACAGAGGTGTTAGTGCCTGGGTTTGTAAAGAGGACATGAAACAGAAAACAGTGCCATGCTAACACTCTGAGCTCGAGCAGACCAAGTAACACAAACAGAACACCTCCAGAGCAAAGGGAATGCTTGCCATCCTCAACAGCATTCCTCTGAGTGAAACTTTACCCTGGGAGAAACGACAAGAAGAAGGGCGACAGGATTTCCCATGACCCCTTTGGCCATTACCAAAAAAACTTTCCCTCATATCTAAGACTGCTGCTGATAGCAGAGATAAGGCAGTGGTGACAGACCTGAGACTTTCCATTCAGCTTTGTAGCCATACTCACTTATCTAGCTTGTCTGAATGATTTCTTTTACATTTATGTACACATCCACCATCCAGTACAGATGCTCATTCAACAAGAAGTCACTCTGACATTTATGTAACTTCAATTATATGTTGGTGGCAGCCTCCCTACTGGGCTGTGGTTTGCTCATGTCCTCTTATTCCTTCAGTCACCGCACACAAGCATGCACACATTCACAAGCAAAATGTGCAGACAAACAGTGCAGACGAGCCATACTTGTCGATGAGGTCCTGCCCATTGATGTAACGCAGGCTCTTGAGGAAGGACAGCGAGCCAAGTGCGTGGGAGTGTCGAATCTTCACATAGCCCGTCACTCTCTGGATCAATCCCATGAAGCTCTCCAGCTCAGACGCTATGTTATCTGAGGACAGGGGATAAACATAAACACATAGTACATGAAAGCCGCATTTTAAAATCCACAGAGACCTCTATTGCTACTGTGACACCTAGACTAGCTCTTAATGCAAATATCAGTGAGCACTTAAAAGCCTTATCATATGGGGAGATTAGCTTGTGAGCCACACGGTCAACTGAGCAAATAAACATCATTATAGCATAATGTGATAATTGGGTTAGAGTGCAGGAAGCAGATGTAATGTTGATTTGGTGGCCCTCATTGTGCCTCCCAGTAGCGTAGACCACCGAGCTCTACCAATTTATGTCTTAGTAATCACAATATTTGCTGGCCAGTTATGTGCAACCAACTGTAGAGTTAGGATACAGGATTGCTCTAGCATATTGTACGATATATTCTATGTACTGTTGGCTAATCTTTGTGAACACAGAACTACTAGTGTGTATAATCTGCGTGGTTGCTGCTGATGTTGTAGTTTCGTCCGCTAAAATTTCCTGGGATGTAGCATGATCTATAAAGCTACCTCACACTGCAAAATCAACAGTATATGTGGTGTTAAGAGCACTCACTTCCACGGCGAATGTTGATGTCCAGATTGCCTGCAATGATGGTGCAGTCCTTCAGGGACTGAGCAGCATCCACAGAGTCAATCACTGGGGATGTGCAGGGCTTATCACACGGGCCATTGCAGGCACTGCATAACATACTGTATACAGAAGAAGCAGAAGGAAGGATTAAATGAGAAGAAAGAGACCTAAGTAAAAACTGTAAAAGAATGAGCAAAAATCTTAACGTGAACTTTTCTACCTCACCCTGAAATCATTGGTCCACTCCCTAGCTCCCAAGCATTCCAAAGGATTCAGGCAAATAAATTCACTGCATGATACAAGGTCACCTCTCACACAGAGAGTTTAATCTTTTATGGGCCCTCATCTGAACTCGTGAGAGAGTGACTCACAGTATTGACCTCAGAGACAAACAGCATTGGTATGGCCAAAAAAATACAGCAACAGTAAGTCGGCATGGAAAGTTTGGGAATTGACGAGACAAAACAGGGCGGAAAAGTTGCGTACAAAGACGTTTTCTTATTCTAAGTTAATGTCAAACAAAGGAAATGTCAGGTGGACATTGCAGCGGTATCTCTTTTTAAAATCTTTTAGTTTTAATTTGTATAATCTACAAGTGGTGAGTGTCACCTTTCACTCTCTCTAAACAGTCAAGGAAAACTAAACTCAGAATCATTAAAAGCCCAACATGCTCTTAACCTTTAGCACTTCGAGCTTTGAGACCTACTTTAAGAAAAAGGACCTGTAAGGGCCAGGTCAGCGGAAGGTCAAGCTCAAGGATACTTTATGTAAATGATTTCATTATGCCGAAGTACACAGTGAACAGGAGTGGCTTTAGTGTCTGTGAATACTGAAGAGAAACCGTAGTGCTACTCAAAGAAAAAATAACCAGGAAATAATACTGACACCTCTGGCTCTCTCTGTGAAAAAGATCAGGTTATGATGATCCTGTTCAAATATAGATCTAGAATAATCTAGATCTAAATAATTCTTACGCCTTGAGAAATCTTAAACATAACGTACGCTTACTTTTAAGAAGCTCTTCCTAATATTTTGTACATAGCCATGCCATGTGACACATGGCATGGCATTTTTAAGTCATCAGGCCCTAAACTCGAAGTGAAGGGTAAGTCTTTACCGATTAGTCTCGTTGCGTGTGAAGCCGGAGGGGCAGTCGGGCATACATTCTCCCCTGTGGATGACAAAGTGAGTGTCACCAGGCAGGTGCACTTGAGAGCACAGGTCCATGGTGATGCAGCGCCAGCCCTCAAACTTGTAGGTGTCTGGGGGACAGTCTGGCACACAGCGACCCTCGTGGTGGTAGTGGACGCAGGCGGAGCAGGCCATGTCGTTGTTGGGCTCGGTACAGCTGCCCAGGCACTGGCTGTGGCAACACTCCCCCTTGTCTGTGCAGGCAAGCTTGCAGTGTTCTGGGCATACTGGAGGAGACAGAGGAAGATGGGGAAGAGGTCAGTTTTGGGTGTGTGTGTGTGTGTGTGTATGTGTAAACAGTCTGCACGCTATCACAACAAAGTCAAGGATGATAGAGGTCAAAAAGATACAAAACTAATACAAAAGCACAGATTGTGATTTAAATTGTCATTTACAAATGTAGAATAGCTTGCTTGGTAACATGCCAGAAAACAAATTAAATGAGATTTAAGATACTGTACATACTATATACCGTTACAAGTTTATTAGGTCCAGTGTTTAATTGTATTACATAATACACAGGGGTGATACTGTTATTCATCTCATTTCTATAAATGAAGTGGAAAAGAATAATAGAAACAAGTGTCAGTATAACACAATACAATTCAGTCTCATCACAAACTGCAGCCTCCAAAATAACCATAAAGTTGAATCAAGGGCTCTTGTTTCAATAAAAAACTAAACAGTATAACCTTCAAGAAGGTAGTATTTATTGCCGGACTGTTGTATTAGACCGCATTAGCTCTACCTAGGTGTACCTAATGAACTCCAGTGTGTAACATTTAAGAGGCTCTATTTGCAGATTGGAAAATAATCTTCATAGTTATGATATGATAGGGGCGTTTGCGTTTCGTGGTGACCGTAGTTTGTGTGCATGACATGGAAATGGTGGCAACAAGTGAAAAGACCAGCAGCAGCGCAGTGGAGCGAAAGGAGCATCACAGAAGAGCTGGAGTGGCAGCAGGGTTAAAAATCTGTGCCATTTGTTTCTGTAAAGCGCAGAGCTGGCCTCACTTAATGTGATCACATCTAATGCGATCACCCATAGTATTTATCCTTTGACAGCAATTTGAAAAACAAATTCCTGCTAGCACATTTTTACTCACCTCTTGTTTTTGAACCAAATCATCAATCAAATCAGTTGATTGGTGAGATAAAAAAAAAAACAGAATATATTATCTTATTTCATTAATATTCCTAAGATTGAACAAAGACTTTGCAGCTTGAACGAAACTCTCACTCTAAGAAAGAACTACTGTACGTCCTTCCAGGCTGTAAGAAAGAAATGACAGTAAAATGATTGCGTGGGGTGTTTCAAATTAAGCTTGAGCAACATGAATAATAGAACCTCCTCACTGTTTACTGTGCATCACTAAGAAACCAAAACCCACGACAATATGTTATCAATAACAGCATTTTGGGTAGCTTGGGACAGACAAATAGTACATTTGACAGATTGTGCATCCCGACAGTTTGTCAGATTTATCTAACAGAGCTTACAAAATGACCATTAATGTATCAGCCTCAAACCCCTAGACAATAGGTCTTTCCAAATCCAGACTCTGAGACAGAGAAGACAAAAGTACTGATTCGGGTAAGAAGAAACAAGAAAATTAGATCAGTGCTTGTTTGTAGATTCACCAACTATTTCTGATAATCTCACCAGCTATACACTTAAATCAACAGTGACACAGACAAAAGTGGAAAATGGAAAGCATCTGTTTTTAATGTTCAAAAGCATTTTCACTGTAGCCTATTTATAGAGGAGCACTTCTGAAAAAGCAGATGTAAGGTGAAGAAAGCAGATGACTCCCACTGTTAACTAATCTTGACACACTGCAGGCAGGAGTGTCCTAGTTTCAAATGAGTCCACTCCATAGAAAAAGCACCTGGCATGTGTGTGTTGTATGTATGAATGATCGTGAAAGGCCTGGTGACAAGGTGTTTTTTGCTAATGATTGTTCCCTGTTTGCGGAGTCTCTCAGATAAAGAGCTGTTCAGGGAAAGACTGAGCCAAGGGTTTGGTTTCTTTGGGGAATAACAGATAAAAAAATCTATGCTTGTTAAAAAATCTGCATTTTTTTGCAATTAGAAATTGTGCAGGCCCCACCCCCCACGCCCTTGTGTTGTTTGGGTATTTAGAGACTTAAGTGTTTACTATTTATTGTTATGCTCTTTGTTATTGCTGCAAAGCAAATTCCCCCACAGGGGCAATAAAGCTGAATTGAACTACACTGAACTGAACTGAAATAAGAGGCACAGCACTCCTGGTTCCTTAGCAACCGCCTCCTGGTGCAAAGCCAGAGCTGGAAGGAAATGTGCACACACACACAATCATACACTCTCAGACACTAAAACACACATTTCACCACTCTCTTTCATGTGTGTTATTGTCATTTGCAAAACTGTGATTTCACATCATTGTCTGCAGTGACATTATTTCAGCCATCCTCATAAAGTACAACTTTACAAAAGAGTATGCATGTGTGTGTGTGTGTGTGTGTGTGTGTCTGACATGTGTGCACATGCATCTTGGTATGTGAATATTTGTGTGTGCCGGAGAGAAAGAGGAAAAGGAGATCTGCTTGTTTATTTGCTTTTAAATTAAACACGGGTGTCGGAGCATCGCTGGTTCGCTTTGTGAATCAGTCAAGAGAATGAAGCCGGCTGTTGAGCTAATCTCTTGATGAATATTTCATGTTGCTTTACAAAACATCTGTATAGGTTCAGAACGTGACAGTGCACTACAGCAATGCTGCAGAGCAAGCACTCACTTCCACAGTGCCAACTCCAGCTTGGCTTAGCAGGGGAAGGGGAATGATCAGTCCCACTCCTGACAGTGTCTCAAATACCTGCCATGCTTTCTCACATTCAGTCAAATCTTACAGTGCAAAGGGGGTGAAATCTGTTTGGAAAATTCCATCATACGGTGGCCGACAGGGGCAAATGCACTATATCAGCCCAAAACATTTCCATCAGGAGAAACGTGCTGCAGCTTCAGAAACGATGGCAATTCAAAAACGCATACCAAAATCCAAAGCAAATACAACAATGGTAACGTGCTGCAAAAGAAAAATGTGGCACGGAAAGCCAAAACAAATACATTGACGCCATACACCCTCCAGAAACAATGCAAGATCAAGTCCAAAAATAAAAGCAACAGAAAAATGCTCCATATCCAGTGAACACAACAGACGTTCTCTGGCCTCAATAGAATAGAATAGAAAGCATAATAAGCTATATTAATAAATGAATACAATGTCATTGCACCAGAATAGGGGTAATATTGCACACAAGTTATTCCATGTGAATGTAATTATAAGTATTGCACTCGAAAAATGTGTCTGAAAAAATGTGATTATTCATTTGAGCCAGGTTTGCAGTAGACAGTCTACATATTGCACTTGAGAGGTAATTTCACTGATTGTTGGAGTTAAGTGTTCTTATGGCCCAGGAAAAAAACAGAGGATAACAGGTCAAACAGGTGGTGACCAGGTAACCAAGTCCTTAAAGGCCGCCGCACACCAACCCGATTATCGGC